CTTATAATTGATTTCAATTCAAATCTTATTTATAATTGGATGTTTGCATTGGGAAAGCTAAAGTGCATCCATTCATTGGCAAGAAACGTCCATATGTAGTCACTCAAGCCATTGAAAGCCTTGTTACACGCTTTAAATGGTTTTATAATCTTATAAATGATTTTAAATCAAAATCTTCTTCATTGTTAGTTAGAAGCGATCATAATTGGATTTTTTTATCAGAAACATGAAACGAATGCCATCCATTGGCAATAAATGTCCATTTATAGTCACTTATGCCATCGAAAGCCTTATTACTCATTTTAAATGGTTTTATAATCTTATAAATGATTTCAAATCAAAATCTTCTTCATTTTTGGTGAAAATCAAACATAATTGGATGTTTGCATGGGAAACGTAAAGTGAATACAATCCACTAACAAGAAACATCCATTTATAGTCACTTATGCCTTCCAAATCCTTGTTACTAGCTTTAATAGTTTTATAATCTTATAAATGATTTCAAATCATAATCTTTTTCATTTATGGCTCAAACAGAACATGTTTGGATGTTAGCATCGGGAAATGTTAAGTGAATGCCATTCATTGATAAGAAAAGTCCATTTATATCAACTTGTGCTATCAAAAGCCTTGTTAGTTACTTGACATAATTTTACAATTTATAAATGGTTGTAAATTGAAATATTTTTCATTTAAAATTGATAGTAATTGGCTATTTACATTAGGAAACGTGAAGTAAAACCTATCCATTAATAACAAAAAGTTTATTTTTAGTCAGTCATGCCTTCAAAAGCCCTGTTACTCGCTTTAAATGGTTTTATAATCTTCTAAATGATTTCAAATCAAAATCTTCTTTGTTTTTGGTTAAAATCAATTGTTATTGGATGTTTGCATTAGGAAACTTGAAGTGCATGCCAGCCATTTACAAGAAATGTCCATTTATAGTCATTCAAGCCATTGGAAGCCTTGTTACACGTTTGAAATGGTTTTATAATATTATAAATAATTTTAAATCAAAACTTTTTTATTTTTTGGTCAAAATCAATCATAATTGGGTGTTTGCATCAAGACACATGAAGTGAAAATCATCCATTGATAAGAAAATTTGATTTATAATCAATCATGCCTTCAACATTCTTATAACTCTCTTTAAACGGTTTTATAGTCTTATATATGATTTTAAAATAAAATCGTTGTTGTTTTTGGTTAAAATCGATTATAATTGGATGTACTCATTAGGAAATAAGAAGCGGATGCATCCATTAACAAGAAATGTCCATTTATTGTCACTCATGTTGTAACACTGCCAATTTTCAATGTAAATTAATTAAACTAAGAATGATTTACGAATATGTGGAGTCTCGAGGATTTTGATGATATGATATGTATGGCTAGTGTTTAAGAGTGTATACATTGACACTTAGGCAAAACTTTGAGCAAATATGTGATAAATCGCATAATTTGAGGTTTTCATCTAAGTTTTATGTTATGTTTTAGAATTTATGTGTGTGGGATTAATTTAAATGAATGATTTGAGGTGTGATACTAACAAGGAACGACTTTAGGGTGTTGAACATGGATTTTTCGAGATCTTGAAAAGCTTAGAACTGCCTATAGAGGTAAAAATATCGATACATATCCCAATGCATCGATACATACATGGCAAGATGAACAACAAAGGCCTCGGGAAGAATATTTTATTGATACATTTGTGAATGTAACGATAGATTTGGCCAACGATGAATATATATCAATACATTTGAAGTAAAAAGCACCCAAGGGCATTTTGCTTGAAATGTATCAATACATTTATTCGAAATTAAGGCAAATGTATCGATACATTTGGACAATGTATGGATACATTAGAGAGAAAAGGTAAACATAAAAAGGGATTTCAGGCCATTCCACTTAACTCATTCTCTCATTTTCTCTCTCTAGGAACCTAAAATCTTAACCCTCCAAATTGAAATTTTAAGCCATCTGAAGCTATTTGGAGCTCAAAAAACCATTCTAGAGGTAAGATTTAACGTTTTAACCTATTATTTTCTAATTTAATTGGTTAATAACTTCGAATCTAACTTTTCTCTAAATTTGGTATTTTCCCTATTTCTCTTGGATTGAGGATTTTAAAGCTAAGCCTAGTGCAATCCAGGTTCTAAGGTATGCGTTTAGCTCATTAATAAAGGATTTGAGCTTCTATACTTGGATTACTACGATTTAGTTAATTATATGAAAAGTTGGCATTTTTTGAAAGCCATGAACAATTAATATTTTTGTGTTTTGGTGTGTTTGAAAGGGGAAATAGAGTTAAATCAACTTATTGGCAAGCTAGACAATGATTGAACACTAAGGATCGAAGCTTGGTGGGGAATGGCTCCTATTGTCACTATGAGTGGGGTTTTTATGTTTTAAAACTCATGTGATACATTATGCACGATCATATGCTCTGCCATGGTGCATTGAATTGTTATGTTTATATGCCTAGATGATGTATGCCTAGGCTAGTATATAATTAATGGATATTATTATACGTGTTTATTTCTAATTACTATTGGGAAACATGAGTTGTTCGGCATCTAGGTGATGGATGATCATAATGGCTTCTGGATATACTATGACTAAGTTAGTGTGGTGGTTATATTATGATGTGTGAATGGATTGCCCACTTGTCGATGAAATATTGATGTATGATTTAATGTGAGATTGCTCTATATATGTGGTTTTATGTGATATATGTGGGAGGAACTTACTATGTTAAATTGTGGATTTGAGAATGATTGAACTAATATTTATGATACATTATTGGAACTAAGTTGCCCAATTGTATTTGTTATCATGATATGTATTTAGAGGTTATAACAGATGATGAATAAACTTTTGAAGAATTATTGTGTTTATACACGGTCGATATGTGTGAACTTATTTATAGTTGATGTGAAACTGTTGATATATGTGTGGTTATTGAGTTCTGATGATTGACATGAATTATGGTACATAGATTATTAGTGGCATTGATGGCTCCCAGACTTTATGACGTTTTGTTCAATGGTTGAATTTTGGACATTGATTAATTTAGGTTTGAATAGAGTCTAAAACCTCTGTGACTATGTTCGTGCCTTCGAGATAGTGGTAAATAGAGGTAGTGGTTGAAATCTCACATGTGATTCCTGCCTGTAGTGTTTGATGCCATCCGTCGTGAGATTACTCCAGATGATGATTGTGATGCCACTTGTGTTAGAATACTTTTGGTGAGGCTATCCATTGGGATATTGCCCGGACGAGGATTGTCATGCCCCCCATGGAGAGATTTCTTTAGATGATGACTTTGATACTTTACCAGTTGTGTTGGCACTATACGTGATTTGCTTTCCACCAATGGCCTTACCCTATGCGTGATTTGATCCTCATCCGGTTGGCCACCGAGCATGATCTGACTTTGTCCAGGGGAGTACTACTCATTGATTTGATTTGCGTATGACGTCAGATAGCTGTGGAAGGCTTAGGTAACTATGATATGATTATGATGTGATACTTCCACCACTAGAGTGTGCCGTGGAGAATGATTCGAATGACTTGATCAGCTTCGAGGGTAAGCCTATTGATATATGTGATGATCTTTGGAAAGATTGATGCCTTCACATCGAAGATTATAAGGATAATGGCATGCCCTACATTTAGAGATCTTTGCTAGAACACCTAGACTCACAGATGGTGCATATGTTTTATATGTGAGTTTAATATATGTATGACTTTATTATCTGCACCACTTATTGAGTATTATAGTACTCATCTATTTGTGTACCATGTGCATATTAATAAACCATGAGAAAGGGTGGTAAAGGTCATCTATAGATAGACTAATTTTGGCATCCGGTAAGTTCTCTATTTTGGGTACTCTGATGAGTTTGTCACAAGCTTTCACATATGGTTGACTTCTATGTATGTAGGCACAATGTGCTATGTGAACCTATATGTAAGGGTTGTTATGCATGAACCCAATTTGAATTGGAAATGTATGGCCTTCTGAGTATTTATATGGATTGTACACCAGGGATAATGTATTTTTGGTTGAATTTGTTATAAACATTTGACTGTAAATCTCTTGACATGTTTGTAATATATTTTGAATTTTGAGGCTTGCTTGGGTTTAGTGGGCTTGCTTGCTAGGCTCATGCATTGGTTATGGCCTCCGAATTTGTGTCATCACACATGCCATCGAAAGCCCTCTTACTCGCTTTAAATGGTTTTATAATCTAATAAATGATTTTAAATCAAAATCTTCTTCGTTTTTGGTTAAAATCAATCATAACTGGATGTTTCTAATGGAAAATATGAACCAAATGCACTATACTGACACGAAAGATCCATTTCTAGTTACCCATGCGAACGAAAGCCTTGTTACTTGCTTTAAATGGTTTTATAATCTTATAAATGATTTTAAATCAAAATCTTTTTGTTTTTTGTTCAAACAGATTACAAATGGATGTTTTCATCAAGAAACATAAAGTGAATGTCATCCATTGATAAGAAAAGTCCATTTATAGTCACTCATACCATTAAAAGCTTTGTTACTCATTTTAAATGATATTATAATTTGTAAATAATTTTAAATTGAAATCTTTTTTATTTTTTCTTAAAACAGATCATAATTGGATGTTTGTATTGAAAGCATAAAGCAAAAGCTATGCATTGACAAGAAAAGACCATTTATAGTCAATCTTACCTTGGACAAGCTTGTTACTCATTTTAAATGGTTTATAATCTTACAAGTACTTTCAAATCATAATCTTCTCAGTATTTGGTTAAAATCGATTATAACTAGATTTTTGGATCGAAAAACTAAAACGGATGCCATCAATTGATAAGAAATGTCCAATTGTAGCCACTCAACCCATTGAATGCCCTACTATACTATTTAAATGATTTTATAATCTTATAAATAATTTTAAAACAAAATATTTTTCATTTTTAATTAAAATAGATCATAATTGGATGTTTACATCATGAAATGTGAAGCAAAAATCATACATTGACATGAAAAGTCCATTTGTAGTGACTTATGCCTTTGCAAGCCTTGTAACTTACTTTAAATGGTTTTATAATCTTATAAATGATTTTAAAACAAAATCATTTTTGTTTTTAGTTAAAATTGATCATAACTAGATGTTCTCATCAAGAAATATGAAACAGATGTGATCCATTGAGAAAAAATGTCCATTTATAATCAGTCATGCCATCAAAAGCCCTATTATTTGTAATGACCTCTTCCCTCGATCGCTACCAGCATTCCAGACTTGCGAGTGAACCTGCCAAATCTCAAACAAGCCTTAGTTAAACTTCCAAGCAATTTAATCTAAAATTACAATTTTAAGACCATTGTTTAGTTAAACCAAATAATCACAATATTTAAAGCATGGCAGCTAGAAACTAATAACTAGGTTTGATA